AAGTAGATCAGACAGCTGATCCAGATGCTGCTGCCTGCGTCCTCACTAGAACTAAGAAAATAGATCAGACAGCTGATCCAGACGCTGCTGCCTGCGTCCTCACTAGAACTAAGAAAGTAGATCAGACAGCTGCAGCTGATCCAGATGATGCTGCCTGCATCCTCACTAGAACTAAGAAGGTAGATCTGACAGCTGCAGCTGATCCAGATGATGCTCCCGCCTGCGTCCTCACTAGAACTAAGAAAGTAGATCTGACAGCTGCAGCTGATCCAGAAGATGCTGCCTGCATCCTCACTAGAACTAAGAAAGTAGATCATATCAGCCCGGCTCTGAAGTCCTTCCACTTGCTCCCTGTACCTCAGGGAATAGACTTCTATTTCTTCCTTCTGTTAGTCTAGAAATTACTGAATAGATCAACACCTCAATATATAACAGATCTGTTGTCAGTGGATCTATCTCCCAGACCAATCAGGTCTTCTCGTCCCAGCCTATTCTGTTCACCCAGAACTAGAACCAAACATGGTGAATCAGCATCTATGCTCCACTGATCTGGAACAAACTCCCAGCAGACTGGAAAAGAGCTGAAAGCCTGAGATTTTAGGTCAAAGTTAAAGTTCCATTAGTTTAAATCAGTCTCATTATGATATTGATTTAAGGTTGTGGTTCAACTGATTTTATTTTTCTACCTGCTTTTATCATGTTTTTATTCTTTACTTGCTTTTATTCTACATTTATTTTCCTTCTATTGTGCTGTTTGATGTTCAAACATTCCTTGCCATGATATCAGCAGATCCGTTTAAGATCTGTCCATGCCAAGAGGGACTTGGAGTTGTTTTTTAGATGATTTTTTATTTTTTTTTGTTAGATTGCAGAAGTGGCCAAAGCCAAAATATTTCTGTGTTTTCTTTTGTTTTTTTTTGGCTTAAGCTGATTTAGGTCTATAATCCAATTTTTACTCAAGAATTGACCATTTAGGTCACTTTGACATTTCCACATCAGCAGCTGGACACTGGTTTATAATCCCATTATTTTCATTTATGATGTAGGCTGTGTGAGCCTGTATGTAGATGGTCCTCTTTTCCTTTAATAAATGGTTCTACAGCTTTCTTTTTTATGTTTGAATGATTTTTCCTTTTCTTCTACTTTCAATAGAATTATCATGTGCGACTTTGTGTACTATCTTCTTTTCTCAGCATGCAGCTCAACCCCTGACGCCCCGTCCCACAGGCGTTAGTCCATAGAGCCACAGAGAACTCCCCTTTAAAATCCCTTCAGTTATACACATGCTTTTAATTTAATTTTTATTAGGGGAAAAGGAATGCATTTATAATATTTTATAGCATATTATCTTTGTATAATGCTTTTGATTGTAAAAGTTTTATTTTGTTTTATTACAACAAACGATAAAAAAATGATTATTATAATAATTTAAACAACAATGGAAATTGGATGGCAGTGACATTATTTTTACCAAAATGGTTACATTGGAACTTTAACGCTAAGGTGAAGAAAAAAGGCTTTGAAAGAAAAGACTTCACAGGTTTAATGTACCGTTTCCATTTAGATCATATTTTGTAAAAAAAACAATCTTTTAACAGTCGGAAAAAAAAAATTAAGACTATTTTTCCCTTGTGCAGATGTCTTGCACATTAATTAGTTTAAGCATCTCCTTGTGAGAGCCTTTTCACTTTTTTGTTATTAGAACTCAAATGATCCACATGTATGTTTCCCAAATATATGGCTGCAAAGTCAAAAGGAAAAGTAACAGAATAAAACATGCTCAGATATATTTTAGTAAAACCCACCAAACCAGCTATGTCTGCATGTCTGAATAAAAGGGAAAAGGTTGGCTCAGACGTTGCCTCGGTGCTGCTATGTCGACATTTCCAACACTCATTTCTGCTGAGGACAGATCTAAAAATACAGTTTATTAGTTCTGGATGGCCAACAGCTGAATACCTTGTTAACGTGCATTTGCTTTTTTCCTCTTTCTTTCCACATTCTCCCATGGACCTCAACATTCCCAACATCACCAGGAATCAGTCCAAGGTAAAAGGACACACCAACACACTCAGTCATTTCTTTCTCTGTCCCGATTCCAGCTTTGTGAATCATCTGTGTTAAACAAAAGCACCGCTGTTTAACTTCTAGCTGCAGGAACAGTTTGGAGACGTACAGGCAGTGATGCAAAGTAGTCATCTGGAAGTTAAGCTTTTATTTAACTTAAGAAAATCTTTTTTATATCTTTTAAGTATTGTTTGCTACTTCACATCACTGTGTGTCAGTATTTCCAGGCTTAACAGTAGTAAAGTAGCAGTTTTTCCTCATCTAGTTAAAGAAATGAACACAGGAAGTGCTCAGGATTATACTGCTGAAAGACTTTAATTGAATTTTATATCAGGTTAAATTGAATATGAATGATAACAAGGAAATTATTTAAAATAATTATTAATACCCCTTCTTTCATTTAAGTCCAGTCTCAGAAGTTCTCTTTTATTTAGAATTTAGAAACTATGTAAAATCTTGAGTTTTACCACAGCGAAGCAACATGTCTGTGAAAGGATTCCTTTGTGGAAGCATGAATCCAGTCTGCCGCTAGATTCACTTTTAGCTGCATATTCCTAAATATTCTAAAAGTGAAACTATTTTGTCTTTAACTTCTTTTTCCTCTCAGCAGCAGCAGCCAGATTCCCTCTGTGTTTAACGCCTCTGTTTTTTCCACTTGTTTGCTCAGGTTTTTGCCTATGATTATTGCTTTTGGTCCATGGATGAGACGGAGAAGGAAAAATATGCAGGTCAGTTTTTGATTTAACATAAAGAATTTATGAAATTTTTGCTTAATGAGTATTTGTTTCTATATTTGTATGATACTAATTTGTTTGTGGGATGAACTGCACCTCCTTACAGGTCAGGAGGTGGTGTTCCAGTGCCTTGGGGAAAGTCTTCTCCATAACGCCTTCCAGGGTTACAACGCCTGTATATTCGCCTACGGACAAACTGGTAAATTACAATGACGACTATGCTTTCAATATAAATGGGGAGATTATAAACAGGGTGTATTTATCTGAAAACGATACAAACCAGAGTGTTTTGGTTCTGCTTTGTGTAAATGGTGAGCGGTTTAGTCGAGCAGGAGCAGTTAGGCTCCTTAATACCTTCATTTCTCTGTGACGTTGGTTCCAGGTTCAGGGAAGTCGTACACCATGATGGGCTCTGTGGACCAGCCGGGGCTGATTCCTCGGCTCTGCAGCGCTTTGTTTGAAAGAACCAAGGAGGAGCAGCGGGAGGGAGAGAGCTTCACTGTTGAGGTTTCCTACATGGAGATCTACAACGAGAAGGTCCGAGATCTGCTGGACCCAAAGGGGTAGGAAGCCAGCCAACTTTCACCAGGCTCTCATCAGATTTTATCCTCTCATCTGCAACGAGTGTCTCTGTTTACAGATTCAACATTACAACTAGGGGTGTAAATCACACCCATCATGGCGATTCGATTATCGATTTCCTGACCCAACGATTCGATTATTTTTCGATACTCAAGAATACACCACGATTCGATTTGATTAATTGTTTTTTTGTTTTGTTTTTTTTTTTTACACCTTACAGGCTAGACAATGTTTCAAATTTGAAATAAATCAATGAAAGCTGTAATATCGTTATGCTATATTTTTTTTTTTTGAGAAACTACAGAAAATCACAGAAGTAGAATAGTTGCACTCCATCTATTGCTATTAAAACCTCGTTCACTGAAAATTAATAATACCCCTGCGTTATAGATTCTGAAAGGCCTTGCATCAAAAAATACTGCACAAAATCAGTGCAATGAGTGCAATGCAATACCTCTGCTCCAGACGTCACCACCCCCTCCACAGACACTCCGCTGCACCTCTCCCAAATTGTAGCTGACCGCAAACAGTGCCGCAGACAGGAGGCCGGCTTGTTTTGTTTTCATGACCGAAATTGCGGGAAACAACTCGTGAAATTTGACCAGCAAGAAGAGCGAGGTGCGCGAGAACGTTGGGACCCTTTTTCCACCTGGATCTCCGCTCTTTTTGGCCCTCATGTCCCTTCGTCGTCGGACTAAACTTGTCCCCACTTCCTCGCTGCCTCGGCTGTATCTAGACCCACAGTGTGTAGCACAGACCACGCTTCAATACTGAGCATAAATTAAAAATCTCTATGTCAAGCTCACTGCAACATACTGCTGTAAGAGTATAACCAGGAAGCGAGGTAGGAGGGCAAAATAGGTTTAGCGCCACCGCAGCACAGGAGGGAGAATTACGCCCAGGAGCAAATGGATAAAAATAGACTGGAGGAAAAAAAAACATGAACCGATTCTCTTGCGGACGTGTTGATGCATCGGATCGTCAGCTGTTGGATCGATGCATCAATACAAAACGATTCGATATTATTTACACCCCTAATTACAACAATTTTTTTTCAGTGTTTTTAAAAAAAATTTATATTTTGTTGTCTTTTATGTGTCTTATTTTTAAAAAAGTACAGATTTGCTATACTATAATGTTAGTCACAGGATTACTTTTTCTGAGACATCATCTAGTATTAAAAAGATGTGATTAATTTAAACTTTGTCAGCTGATGATTTAGAGAAGTTGTGGTGTATTGTGTGGGCCTTTGTTGTGGTTGGTGGTCAGTAGATGGACAGATTAGCAGCCAGCTCCACAGCCACCAATTGAGGCCAGTTTATGTCCAGCAGGTCAGCAGTAAATCAGGACTTCAGGCCACCGTCTGCTGCCCCAGATACCATAACCTTTGACTCTCCCTCTGTACATGACCTTTAACCTTGGTAAAATGACCCAAAAAGACGCACACCATCTGACACCCATATGTGCGGTGGCCAGGGATCCACAAATGATGAAGTCCTCAGGAGAGTAGCAGAATTGAGGTCAGAAAGCCATGTGCTGCTAAAGTCTGGGAGCTTTAATCGTTGGAAGAGTCTCCCATCCACTAACAGAGTTACCTTACCATGTTGTCTGTCTTGGTTCTCACCCTGTTTTCACTGTGTTTCCAGGGGCAGACAAACCCTGAAGGTGAGGGAGCATAAAGTGTTGGGTCCCTATGTCGATGGCCTGTCGCGACTGGCTGTAGCCAGCTACAAGGTAAACCTGGATCCTCTGTGTCTTCACTCCTCCTCCATCAGTCTTATTTATCTCCTTCTACTATCATCCCAAATCTCTGAGATCAAATATCCTTTTTAACGTTTGACTGCATTATCCTTCCTTCATTCTTGTGAAGTAAAACTGTGCTTCAAGAACTTGTATTTCCGCCACGTGCGGCATGTTTAAACGGGTTTTCTGTCACAACCTAGACCGGCTTATTGCTTTCTATTACCAGTTCTACTGGTTCACCAGAGCCCAAAGGACTTCAAAGAGATTATTCCTCAGAAAACAATTATTAATTCCTTCTAAAGATAAAGGTTATGAGCTCTGACAGTCTTAAGAGAAAGCTTTAGACTGAATTCTTTGAGGTCTTGAGGGCCACACCGATCAAAACCTCCTGAGATGATTACCAAGGTAATTACTGTACCCACACTGTAAGGATTAACCAAAGTATGAGAAATAAAATCTTATCTGTTTATTAGTCTCTCTCTATCATAAACTCTGTCTGTCCTACGGTCCTCTTTTCTTTTATATGGGTTAACATTTACAATCCTGGCCAATTTTTCAACATAGTAGCTAAAAATTTACCGATACCTGTTCTTTTTTTTTTCTTTTTTTTTTTCTTTTTTTTTATGGCACTAGAGGCTTTTTTCCTGACAGTAGGCTGAGAGGAAAGGGGGTATGAGAGATGGGGAGAGACATGTGGCAAAGGAGATTTGAACTCGAGTCGACCGCGCCGAGTAGCGCTACCTGCACTTCCATACAAAAGCTGTAGAATAAGACGCTTTTCAAAATATATTATGAGTCTCTTTCAGATCACTGTTGCACAATAAACAGGTAAGCTTCAGCCTTACGTTACGGACCACTTTGCCCCTCTAATATCGTCGAGTGAGCAGATCTCTCAGAACTAAAGGCTCTGAGCTACATCCTCAATGCTGCATTCAGACCACGTCAAGTTTGCACACAAAGTCAAGTGGAATCGCTTAAGAGGCTTTAAGATATTCAGCAGCGCATCACATGCGTCTTGCACTGCTTGTTGTAAAGCTTTCCGCTCATTTTGTGCTGCATTTTAGGCTCGGTGCGCATAACGTGCCTCTAGATTTGCTGGCTTGAGTTGGAAAATCTGAAATTATTCCAGCTTAACAAGTAGGGTTAAACAATCAGAAAAGCTGTTAAAGAGGCTGTCTGGTAAACAGATTTAACATTCATGCTGTGATCTTTCCTTCTGTGGAGCTGTCAGCATACAACTAGAAGAATATTCAGTTTTATATTCTGGTACTCAGTTTTTACCAAAAGCCTAAAATAATTTTTTATCCTCACTTTAACTAAAAACTGTTGCGAGGGGTCAGAATATTTAAATAGGATCTTAACCCTTATGAACTGACTGCACTGATGATGTTTTGAGGAAGACTTTCATGTTAAAAAAATATATTAAAACTTCCTTTTTAACCATTCAACCAAATAAAGCCAACCGACCGATTTTATTTTATATGGTAAAAATTACACAATGATTACAAATGTTACAGGAGTCTTGAATCTAAACAAAAAGAAACAGTTTAACAAATCAAACAATATGCTAACAATAGTTAGCAAATAGTGGGAGCAGCAAAACATGCACCTTACACAATCTCAAGGCACGGCTGCTTAATGCAAATATGAATCCATGTACGCCTGGAACTATTGACCGTTACAAGACAAAAACTCAAATATCAGCCAAAAAAAAAATCATCCAGCTGATGTATCTGTTGGCATGTTTATCCTCCATTTTGATATGACTTGTTGATAATTGGCTCAGATTTAACTGTGGTTCAAATCAGACACACGAGGACAAAACTCACAGAGAAGGTTGTTGTTCAGCTCCATAATCTTTGGACTTTGAAGTCCATGCAGTTTAATAACAAAGTATTTCAGTAGCTTACTGTTCTGCTATTCCGGTACATCCGGGGAAATCCAAGCCATATGATCCCAACACTATGTGCAGATCATATCGCATGACACAGACACAAATAGAGTTAAAGAGCTCTTTTTTTCACAGCTAATTTCCCAGAAACTCATTATTCATCAGACCAACATATCCCTGGACGACTTTTCCTTTAAGCTGTTTTAAGAGTCATACATTCAACCAGAACCAGAGCTGCAACTTGCATTTAAATTGTAGAGGAGATTAAATAACAGGAGGGCAATTATATGAAAAAATTGACAGGTCTATAGATGTATAGTATATATGTCTTTTTTATATATATATATATATATATATATATATATATATATATATATATATATATATATATATATATATATTTTGGAGTAGCACTGCTGTCTTGCAGCAAGAAGGTTCTGGGTTGAATTCCCAGCCCGGGCTCTTTCTGCATTGAGTTTGCATGTTCTCCCTGAGCATGCTTGGGTTCTCTCCGGGTACTCCGGCTTCCAAAAACATGACTGTTTAGTTAATTAATTTCTCTAAATTCTCTTTAAGTGTGAGTGTGTGTGAATGGTTGTTTGTCTCTGTGTTGCCCTGCGATGGACTGGCGACCTGTCCAGGGTGGACCCCGCCTCTCGCCCGTAGACAGCAGGAGATAGGCACCACCACCCCTCGCGACCCCGCTTGGGATATGCATGACAGAAAATGGATGGATGGATGGATATATATTTATATATATATCTAAGAAATCTACATATATATGTTTATGTAACTGTTTACTGATGTCTGTAATGATGTGGTTATTTTTTAACAGGACATTGAGTCTTTGATGTCTGAGGGGAATAAATCTCGCACTGTAGCTGCAACAAACATGAATGAGGAGAGCAGTCGATCGCACGCCGTTTTCAACATCATCCTCACACACACACTCAAAGACCTGAAGTCTGGGGTAAGACTCAACCACACACACACTGAGCCTGGAAAAAATGGTTGTGTATGAAGTTAAGACCAAGGTACGAAAACTGAAAAAATATGTGAGAAAATAAAGAAAGCGCATATTAATTTTTCTTTTTTTTTTTTTTTTATAAAAATGGGTTTGTAGATGAGTTGGATCTTGATGCAGGGAGAGAGGAGACTAAATCATGATCATTCAGTCGTAACCGTACATCATGTGTTCGTCACCGTTCATTCAGACGCTGTTCTCTCACTTCCAGTGTTCATGTTCCCTTTCATTCTGCCAGCGATCGGTCAGTAATGCTTCCCACAGATTTAGCTGAGCTCATCTCATCACATGGTTTACTTGTGAACATGCTTTCATTTGATGCTGGGTCGCTGCAGAGGTCTTGTAAAACACCAGCCACAGCTTTGAACATCAAGCACAACACTAAGGCCGCTTGTTTGTTGTGTGACGGCATTAAATGTTTGCCTTTTAAGATCAAATTGACCCAAAAACACATGGGCCTCTGTAGTATCCAGCCGTCAGCAGCACCACTATCAAACTTATCAAAAACTCCTAAAGTGTGTTGATACCAGTAAGACAGAGTTAAAACTACAAATTTTATTCCATTCTGAATGAGTAATAGAAAGTAATGGATAATTGTGGGAGGAGGAGGCTGCAAAAGAAAGGAAACTGTTGTAGAGATCATTTTCCAGCAGGACAAAGACCCTCTATTCCTTACAATATATCTTTAAAGCTGATTTTACATAAAGTCTCTGGAAGGACTTTAAAAATGTTCACTTCTCGTGCATCGGGTCTGACTGGGATTCAGTTATTTTTCAAAGAAGAGAAGGAAAAGATTTCAGACTCCTGATGTGGAAATTGAGGGGGAAAAAAGTCAGTTTATTAGAGTATTGAGTCAGGATGGCTGAACAGAAACACATTCGGCTCTTTCCACACTGTCACACTTCCAATACACCCAATTATCCATCCCTTTAACTGCACTGATGTGCACTACTTTTTGTTGTCGTTTCACAGAGAATAAAAAGTTAAATCAGTGTGCATACTTTTGCACTGTGCCTTCAGATGCAGTGTTTTCAAAAAACAGTCTGCGATTTCATGTATTAACAGTATCTGTTGTATTTCCCAGCTTATCGTTGCCCTCTAGGATGAAGGTGAAGGTAGTTGCAAATGAGGTGATGTCACTGTGAATCTCTAAAAAGGAAAGACCTCAGTGACTCATTCTCTTTCCTCCCTGACTCACTTTACCCTCCCTACGCCTCGCTCTTATTTCTGCCCTCCACCAAAACCGCTGTTAATAATTCACAGTCATGACTGTGAGTTTGTCAGCTGATACAGCCTGCTTTGTTTTCAGCACACACTCACTAAGTTGGTCACTTTAACTCAGCAATCCAACCAGCAGCTAACACACAGCCTGTTTTAGTCCAGCCCACATTAAAAGCCTCTTTCTGAAGGCGGTAAACACACGCATAGCTGTTTAGCTTTCATTAAAGCAGCAGATTGGATTTTATTCCCAGTGAATTTCACTTCTGTTTAATCTCTCTGGGTCATCGGTGCTCATCTGTGCTGAGCTGCAGAACGCTGTAGCTGAAGTTGCATGTTGAAAGCCCTAACGGTTAACAAGTAGTAAAATCCCCCGCTGCTGGATGAGTCATTCTGAGAAACAAGACACTAGAGTTTCATTCAGTAAAACACCCTATATGCTCTGCACTTTGGACCTGTTGACACTCAGCTGCTTTGTTTGCAGCTCAGAGAAAAGACAAGCGTCAAATGTTTTTTTTTTTTTTTGCTGTTTTTTTGGTGCTGATAAAATATTTTCTAAATGTTTCTTTTTTTTTTTTTGGAGATGCTGTCAGGTTAGCTGACTGAATGCGTAGCTCTGTATATCTGGGCTGCCTTTCAAACCCAAAGCCCAGTATCAAGCAATTAAAAGAGGTTGGAGGTGCCACGTTAAACAGAGTCGCCACTTCCTTATTATTTGACTGTGTGTTTAGATCTGAAAATGAAAGACTGTAAGACAGAGAAGTTATGTCATTAAAGTAGCCAGATGTTCCATCATGTCAGCAGTTTTATCTTAAATTTTCACATTGTTTGTCTTTCTTTGCTTTCACTCTGCAAAATAAACAAAACTCTGTTGTTCAATAGTTTGTTTTTATCTTGGTCTGTGAAGCGGTGCTGCCTGTGGCTGATCCGTATCTCTGCTCCCTGGGCTCAGCCGTTATCTCCCATCTTAACGCTCCATTTTCAGGATTCCTGTTGTGTGTAAACTCACCCTGAGATTTCAGGGGGATGTTGGATAAAAAAGATGAGAAGGCCTAACCTTATTCAAACTGATAGCTTCATTCTAAAGTAACATATGGGGAAAGGGTTTGTAAGGTTTTTATATAATGCTCGGTCTATTTAAAAGATTGGACGCCTCTCTGCAAAGAATAATACAACATTAATGTTGGTTAGATCCACAGAGAGAGCCGCTTCCATGAAGATGGGCTGACATCAGAGGTTGGTGTTAGATTCAACATTGTCAGCTGCTGAGCAGTCACAAGCGGAGACCCGATATCTTCTATTTTGATGGCGCGCAGAAAAATGCAGAGGGAAGCTCATACTCAAGAGTCTGAGGGATGATGACGATGCATAAACCTGCCTGGTAGAGTTACAAGTGGGGGAAAAACATTTTCAGGGAGAGTTTCTGCCAAGTTTTTCTATACGACGTCTGAGGAGAACAGAATTTGTTTTTCTTTCCACAAAAAAAACATTTCCCGATTGCAGCTAAAGTGACTTTAAATGGTTTTATTGTTGTGTTTTCTTTTTCTATAGACGAGTGGGGAGAAGGTGAGTCGCTTAAGTCTGGTGGACTTGGCTGGAAGCGAACGGGCGGCGAAAACCGGAGCGGCAGGAGAGCGACTGAAGGAGGGAAGCAATATCAACAAGTAAGCAAAGCTTTGAGCACGAAGCTGCAGCACGTTTCCACATTAGAATCACTCATCCTGGTGATAGGGACGGCCAATTATGGTAAATGCTAAATGGCCTGTACTTGTATAGCTTTTTTTCATGTCAAGAGACATGACCAAAACGCTTTACACTACATATACCGAACCGAACCGAAAACCGTGACCACGAAACCGTGAATCGAATCGAACCGTGGATTTTGTGAACCGTTCCACCCCTAATGTAAGTGTTTATAGTATTAATTAGTGCCATCCTGCTGTCCGAGTTCCCTTAACATTTTGCATTAAATAAAAAAAAAATAAAATCTGCAAAAACCAGGATTTTCTGATTGATTTTTGTTCTTTCTACATTTCTCATCCTGCTGTATTTTTTTAAGGTAAAGTTACAATGTGGAGGCTCACATTTAGTTCAGGAGCTGTCATTCATCCAGTGGAAATAAAAGTTAAAACAATAGTATGGTGGTGTGAGCCTGCAGCAGAGGTTAAAGGTTAATAACCTCGGTATTGTGTTTGGTTTAGGTCCCTGACTACACTTGGTCTGGTCATTTCTGCACTAGCTGAACAAGGAACAGCCAAGAACAAGACCAAGTTTGTTCCCTACAGAGACTCTGTTCTGACTTGGCTGCTTAAGGTAAACAACCACCACAGGCTGCACAGCACATTTAGCAACATCTGAACGCTTCATCTCTTTATTTTCTTGATTTTCCAGGACTGCCTGGGTGGAAACAGTCGCACAGCCATGGTTGCAACAGTGAGCCCAGCAGCAGACAACTACGAGGAAACCCTGTCGACGCTCCGCTACGCCGACCGAGCCAAGAACATTGTCAACCACGCCGTCGTTAACGAAGACCCCAACGCTCGTATCATCAGGGAGCTGCGGGAGGAAGTAGAGAAACTCCGAGTGCAGCTCACGCAGGCAGAGGTCAGACATCTTCAGGAATGTTGGAGACAAAAACTATATGCTGCTTTTCTTCTTTACCGTTGACCTCATATCCTGCAGTCAATGAAAGCCCCGGAGCTGAAAGAGCGCCTGGAGGAGTCTGAGAAGTTAATCCAGGAGATGACATACACTTGGGAGGAGAAACTCCGAAAAACGGAGGAGATTGCACAAGTAGGTAGTCAGTAAAGCATCAGTGTAAAGCTAGTGTTTAAAACAAGGCCTGCTGTTCACTGGGAACATGTTTGTTTTCTTTGTGGGTTTTCAGGAACGTCAGAAGCAGCTGGAGAGTCTGGGAATTTCTCTTCAGTCTTCAGGGATCAAAGTTGGAGATGATAAAAGTTTTCTGGTCAACCTTAATGCGGACCCTGCCCTTAACGAGCTGCTGGTGTACTACCTGAAGGTAAACGCTGTTCCCTTCACCTCTGAATCCTGCAGGATGTTTGCTCATTGCAACCAGTGACCACTTGGCAATGTCTCTCAGGAACACACACGGGTCGGCTCAGCAGACTCCCAAGATATCCAGCTGTGCGGGATGGGTATCCAGGCAGAGCACTGTGTCATCGACATTACGCCAGAGACCGCTGTCATCCTCACCCCTTACCCTAACGCCAGGTAAGGAACGCCACAGTTACACATGGGCAAAATAAGAGTTTAGCTTATTTTCTCTACAACATCGTAGATTATTTATGTAAACTCTAATAATTTAAGTCCGTCCCAACAAGAATATAATGAGATCAAATTAAATCTACTAACCTTAGGTTGAGGTTTTTGATTCAGCCCTCAGGGCAGAAGATAAACCACTTTGAAAAGGAATTCAATAAAAAAGATGTAACCAATGTACAATATGGATTGTAAAAATGGTGGCGTCTTAACTCCGCTGTAGGATGCCTCTTTATCAGCTCAACACCCACATTTCATGGCTAAATGGAAGAATATTTAGATTAATCAGAATGCTGTGTTTACGCTATAAATACACCAGAGTTGTTGCCGAGTGTAAACGCAGCGAAGCGGCATATGCGTTTATTACACTTTCAGTAAAATTCTAACAATAGATAGTAGTTTGGCAAGGAAAAAACGGGGAAATAAAATTTATGCCAAAGTTCATCTCAAAAAAAACCTCAACAACCAGCAGAAGGAAGGCTAAGTGAATCCTCTCCCCTGTCATCTTTCTATAAACTTATATACCAACTTAACTTAATAGGTTAATCAGGTTACCTACTTAAACCGTGGTTTGGGTTAACCTAAACTTACGGTACTAGGGTGACTAGATGTCCTGATTTATGCCAGATAGTTTACTTATGTGCTGCTGTCAGACAAACTGAAGCAGTGTCCTGCATTTGACTTTGGAAAATATATATTTTTTTATAAGTAGAATAATTTTATATACACCTTTTCTAATGTTAGTTCACACTTAAAGCAGCAGAAGCAGCTAGTTTACATGCAAAGTCAATAGTTGACGCGCATCTTGACGCAGCAAAAGGTCCCGCCGCGCGTATGAAGCAGCAGGAGCAGCGCGCCACATCAACCAATCAGAGAAGCTGATCTAGGAGCTGGCAGGGAGACAGACACAGTGCTGATCATGCAGAGCTCTATGATCACTCCTCTGAAACTGTTTATTAACGCCTAAATTAACTGAAAATGTAGAAACCTGCCTGGAAAATATGTTTTTATTAATCTGGCGCCTGCAATTTGGATTACGTACATGAAAAATGCCTTCCTTCTGCTTTGAACAGTAGCGTAAAACCGGAAAGAGGCGACCAGGCCAGAGGCTGCCATTGAACTGGGTTCCTAGTGTCAGAGCTCCGCCGGTATGTGGGGGGGGTCTGAGCTGCTCGAACAGAAACAATATTTGAAAGCAGGATGGTAATCTGGATGAACTGACTGCACAGATGAAGTTTTCAGGTGAACTTTCTCACTTAAAAACATATTAATACTAATTTTTACCCACTGATCACAGCAAATGTAGCTGCCAGTGTTAAAAGCAAAGAAAGGATAGGGTAGCTCCGCCCAACGCGCATCAGATCTACTTTCCCCCGCGCAGCCAGAGCAGCAAAGATGCTTCAGCCCCGCCTCAGAACTAAACTTGTAAAAGCATTAAAAATGAAGCAGCACACGCGTTTTTGCTGCTCCTGCTGCTTGCGGTCTAAATGTAGCATTAAGATGTTCCTGTATCAAGCTGCACACAGTACTCTTAAAACTGAACAGGTAAAAAAAATGTAAATAAAAAATATGATGGAAACTGCTTAAAGGAATAAAACACAGCCATAACAAAGCCAGTGAAGTGGTTATTAGTGGGTGAGGCCAGAGAGCTTTTGGTGATGTTGGCTGAAATCAACACAACAGAAACGCACCTCTGGAAAACATGTCTGTTCCCCACTGTCCCTCATAAGCATGCTTTCTTTCTTTCTTTCTTTTTTTTTCTGTCTTTCTTTAAGATCTAGTCACCCTATAACTAATCAATACGTCACAAATGAAACTACCTCCCTGTGTAATGAAAGTCCTTCTCTGTCCAGAGACCCGTTACTTTAAAGAGTCTCGTGTATTTCCACTTTTAGCTTATTTAAAATCACTGCGTCTCAGATGTGTCTGATTTATTTTCGTTACAGGACGTGTGTTAATGGTTCTCCAGTCACCAGTGCTTTGCAGCTTCACCATGGAGACCGAATCCTCTGGGGAAACAACCACTTCTTCAGGTGATTTTCATTTCATAGTGTTTTTAAAACCACTTTTAATTTAAATTTTTTCATATTCATTTTCTTTTAAAGCTTAACCCTTAAAGAGACTGACACGTTTATCTCACTTTAAGAATCACTTTGGCAAAGCGGCGTTCACGTCCAACGGAGGAAGAGGAGGGTGAGGGCGGCGTGTTGAAGAACAGCGGCAGCAGTGAGCAGCTGGACGCAGACGGCGACACGGCCAGCGAAGTCTCCAGTGAAGTCAGCTTCTCATACGAGTTCGCTCAGACCGAGGTCATGATGAAAGCCCTGGGCAGCAACGGTGAGAGCAGAGATCAGAATGTTGTTGTTGTTTTTTTTTCCCACCATGCCGCAGCTCATTCTGCTTCCGACTCCACTCAGACCCCATGCAGGCGGTCCTCCAGTCTCTGGAGAGGCAGCATGAGGAGGAGAAGCGGTCTGCGCTGGAGCGACAGAGACAGATGTATGAGCAGGAGCTCCAGCAGCTTCGCAAGAAGCTCAACCCAGACCGGCTGTCCTCAGGCCAGGCTGGAGGACAGACGTCTGGCCAGCAAGGACAGGGACAGCAGTCTCACTACCGCAGCATGGAGAGGCTCAGCATGGGAGGGATGAGCCACTCTACCAGCGCTCAGAGCAGACTGAGGCAGTGGAGTGAGGATAGGTGGGTGTGTGTGCATGCAGGGTGTGTAAGCAGCAGCTGCAGATTCCCTCATTCCTCCTCCCCTCTGTCATTTTTATCCACCTCTGTCCTCTTGTAGGGAGGCTGTGTTGGTAAGGAGTCTCCGGAGGCTGAGGGAGCAGATAGTGAGAGCAAACCTTCTGGTGCAGGAGGCGTGTTTTATCTCAGAGGAGCTGGAGCGCCACACAGAGTACAGAGTCACCCTGCAGATCCCCTCAGACAACCTCAACGCTAACCGCAAGGTCTGTACCTCAGCGGACTTCCTACTTGCCCAGGTGTTTACCTGCTGCTGATGACCCAGAACGAAATGTGTGCAGAGGGACGCGGTGCTGAGTGAACCGGCTATTCAGGTTCGGAGGCGGTGTCGGGGCAAACAGATCTGGAGTTTGGAGAAGATGGAGAACCGCCTGGTCGATATGAGGGAGCTTTACCAGGAGTGGCAGGACTATCACCTCCATCACCAGGACGATCCGGTCAGCTGACTCTACAAGCTTTGAGCTGTAATCGGGTCATAAACTTACACCTTAATAAACCTCCCCTCCTTCAGGTGATGCGTTCCTACTTCAGACGAGCAGACCCGTTCTTCGACGAGCAGGAGAACCACAGCTTGATCGGAGTCGCCAATGTTTTCCTCTCATGTCTTTTCTACGACGTAAAGCTGCAGTACGCCGTTCCCATCATCAACCAGAAGGGAGAGGTATAATCCACGCATCTCATCCTCTTCCAGCTTTCTTTAAAGCCCAGCAACAGAAACGGAGCTTCTTCTTCTCTCCCCTCTACCTTTGTAGGTCGCTGGACGCTTGCATGTGGAGGTGATGAGGGTGGGAGGCGGCTTAGAGGACAACATGGCAGGAGGAGACGACACGGACAACAACCAGGACTCTGAGTTTGAGGATCGTAAACTGGTCTGCTCGGTAAGTCATGCCGATGATCATTGTTGGATCTGTTTTATGAATCTGACCTCCATTCAAACTCTGACTTCTCTGTTTGCGTTTACCTGCAGATCAAGATTTTACAAGCCACTGGTCTCCCCCAGCACCTGTCCAACTTTGTCTTCTGTCAGTACTCCTTCTGGGACCAGTCTGAGCCCACCATCGTGGCTCCTGAAGTCGATCCTTCCTCCTCGTCCCCAAACTCCAAGGACCCGCACTGTATGGTAGTGTTTGACAGCTGCAAGGTAAACACGGAGCGTCTGGTCTTTATATCACTTCTATATCTGTAATATCTATTTTTCTTTGAGGCGGTGGTGATAGAAGCGACTCTCTGTTGGCTCTCTAGGAGCAGGCGGTGTCTGTAACGGAAGACTTTATCGAGTATCTTACTGAAGGAGCGGTCGCCATTGAGGTTTATGGACACAAACAGTCTGATGCAGGAAGAAACCCGGCCCTGTGGGACCTCAGCATCATCCAGGCTAAAACACGCACACTAAGAGACAGGTCGGTTCCTCTCAATCTTCAAATAGTTCTGCTTTTAGCTTCATTTGCTTTCCTTGAAGTCTGACAAGCTTCCTGGTTTGTTCTAAAGCAAGCATGATGCTTCCACTACCATGTTTTACTGTTTTAATATTTTTCAAGAATTTATTTCTAGTCTCACCTCACCAGCGCTCCTTTTTCCACGTTAGCCGTGTTCCCTATAAGTGTTGTGAAAAACTTCTTGCATCTTTCTTCCTAAAACGATCTTAGTGCTAATCTTTTTTTCTAGCTCTGTATTGAATGGACGGCCTGCTGTTGCTTTTTGTCCGATCTGCCTACTGATCTACATGATGCTGCTTCAACATACTGAAAAACCTTTGAACCTCATGTTTTGTTTGTGTTACATTAGATGGAGTGAGGTCACACGTCGCCTGGAACTATGGGTTCAAATCCTGGAAATCAATGAGAATGGAGACTTTGTTCCAGTGGAAGTAGTCCCGGCGAGAGACGTGAACACAGGGGGAATCTTCCAGCTCCGGCAGGTAGCAGCATAAGCTAACAGTCCCAGTCAGCATGATGTTAGCCAGGACTTCAACAGAGGTGAAAAAAGCCCCTCTTTTTATCTGCAGGGGCAGTCGAGGCGAGTCCAAGTAGAAGTGCGTTCAGTTCAGGACTCGGGGACGATGCCTCTGATAGCAGAGATCGTGCTGGCCGTGTCTGTGGGCTGCGTGGAGATCAGAAACAGCACCGCAAACCAGGAAGGGGATGAGATGGACAGCTACCAGGTACTTCATACTAGCACTTTACGTGAGGTAATGGATGAAGATGTGTTAAAACGCCATTGACTGAGGAGTTTGTTGATAGGAAAGAGATCTGGAACGCCTGCGTCGGCAGTGGTTAGCTGCTCTCACCAAGAGACAGGAGTACCTGGACCAACACCTGCAGAGCCTGGTTAGCAAAGCAGGTAACATCAACCTCTACTTTTAAAACTTTTTATTTCCTACTTAAAAATGAAGTAAATGTAACTCAATAGCTTCAATGTTTTTTGCTACAGTGATTCATAACAAAATAACAACACTTTTATATAGAACATAAACTGTGTGCTGTCTAAGAATAATATATCTATGGTAGAATGAGTGTAATAAAATCAAGAACCACATAAGAAATGTCAACCACAGGTTCCTGTAGTTGTTGCTGACAGGACAGAGGCGGTTCGGCTGTCAGAGCGGCGGATCTGTGCGTGCCGAAGTCACTTTGTGTCTGATGTGTTTAACTTTGTGTGCAGAGAAAACAGAGGACGACATGGAGAGGGAGGCCCAGCTGCTGGAGTGGAGGTTGACTCTCACTGAGGAGAGAAACGCTGTGATGGTGCCCTCTGCTGGCAGCGGCATCCCTGGAGCTCCTGCAGAATGGTACGGCTCCTGTTTAACAGATCTAATGGACCGAAAGAAAAAAACGGCACACATTCTAAGTTAGTGACACGATGCTCGTCTGCTCACAGGGCTCCTCTGCCGGGGATGGAAACGCACATTCCCGTCCTCTTCCTGGACCTCAAACGTAAGGAGTTTTATTAACTGGAGCAGTTTGTGCTCAGTTGTCTTGGGCTGGTTGTAAATGTCATTTTTTTTTTTTTTTTTCTCCCCCAGCAGATGATCTCAGCTCTCAAGAGCAGTTTGAAATGCCCGAGGCTGGAGGTTGGGACGCCACACTGAGCGGAGAAGACGAGGATGACTTCTTCGACCTGCAGATTGTGAAACACTACGATGGAGAGGTGAACATCGACCCGCTGGAATTTCATTTTTTTTTAACGTCTCTTTGAAATACAGTGGAGGTTTTTGCCACTTGCCTTGTAGCTATAACTCTGAATGTTGACAGGTGAAAGCAGAGGCATCATGGGACTCCACCGTCCACGAGTGTCCTCAGCTCAGTCGGGGCGGGTCGTGGCCGGAGCAGCGCGTCTACCTGACGGTTCGGGCGGTGGTTCAGCTCAGCCACCCTGCTGACATGCAGCTGGTTCTCAGGAAGAGGATCTGCGTCAACGTTAACCCGGGACGCCAGGGCTTCGCCCACAACTTTCTCAGGAGAATGTCCACCCGCAGCACCATACCTGGCTGCGGCGTTACCTTCGAGGTGGTTTCCAACATTCCTGGGGTAAGATGGAGAAAAGGTCGACGGCAATATCCATTTACACGATCATGCTAAATGCAATCAAACCCTTCAATATTTGTTTTGTTTTTTGCATCAGGATGCTCCAGGCTCAGAGGACAGGGAGATGCTGGCTCGGCTAGCGGCAAACGCACACAACAGCCAATCGGGAGACGACGAGGCTGCCATTGAGAAATACCTGCGCAGCGTGATGAGTCTGGAAAACATCCTGACCCTGGACAGACTCAGACAGGTAGAAGGAGAATATCCTAGAGCTGCAAACATAGAATCTGGTTAGAGATAGACAGACAGGTGATGAGGAAGGCAGTCACTTTGAAACGTTTCTGATTTGGTTCAATATGATCTTCTGGCAGGAAGTAGCAGTGAAGGAGCAGCTGGCGGGCAAAGGAAGGAGTAACAGGAGGAGTCTGAGCTCTCCTTCTGTTCACAGGGTAAAATATACAAGCAGATGATTCCACATGATTCCACAGAAAGACTTAAAATGTTTCTGCTTCTGGTGTTTCAGCTGTCTGGAAGTAGGCAGGACCTGTCCACATCCTGCCTGCTGGATGACAAGGTACCACAATCCTTTGTTCAGTTTTTAATCATCGTGTTGGTATGCGGGGGGGGGGTTCGCTTTGCGTCGATGACATCAGACGACCTCCTGGTTTCCTGAACTAATCCTGTCTCTGCTTCTGAAGGGTCGATGGGAAAGCCAGCAGGATATCTTCATGCCCACTCACCGCACCCTCCCTCGCCCAGCATCGTCCCCATCTACTTACTCTACCTCCCCCTCCTCATCCTCTCTGCCCTTCAACATGACCCCCCCACAGAACCAGGAACCAGAGCAAGGTAAACATCCTGCCCTATATGGTTTCTCTGCGCCATCACCTTCTCTCTCCTTCTTTCTCTCCTTCTTTCCTCCATTATCACATCCTACCTCCTTTCTTTTCTCTGGGACTTTTCTTAGACCTTGTATTTATCTCTCCGTTTGATGTTTTCCACCCTTTAACACATTGTCTGAACCCCCATCCACCTTAAAAACTCATGTTATTTGGCTGTTCTTTTTCTCACTTTACTTTTCATCCATCTTGTGTTTTGAGCTGTTCAAATGCTTTAGATCCTGCAGCTGATCTAAGCTCTGAAATCTAATGTATCCATATTTCTGACATAATGCAGCCTGATTTCTTCTTCATTTCAGTGTGACATGAAATTAATTTTGTCTCAGAAATGAACAGAATTAATGATCTGACAGTATTGAATTAGTGAGTGTGGTAGCGTAGCTGTAAAACCTCTCATCTGTGTTTATTTGGAGGCTTCCTCCGTCAGCCTGTCACTATGTTGGGATTTTTGCCATTCTCTGGACTTCTTGTCTTAATCTTTCACACTTCCTCCACCTCCCGGACCTCCTCTTGTTTTCCTGCTTTCTTTCCTCTCTTTCTGCCTCCACCTTGCCGTCCATCCCTTCCCCCTCCCCTCCCCTCCCCCAGGTCGTTTAGGACTTGCTGCCTCTTATCTTTCAGTTAAGGCCCTCGTTCCTCAGATGCCCAAACTACTTAAGTCTCTTTTTCCTGCGCGGGACGAGAAGAAAGAGCTCAGACCGTCGCCGCAAGGCCAGCAGGTCAGCAGAGCCGGAAATGGCCCATAAAGCAAAGACAAAAGCCTCTATAATAGTTGTTTAATCATGCTGGACAAATCTACCCAGCAAAGCAACTTAACACGGACATAAACAGATCCTAACTCTCCTTTGTCACTCAGCAGCACGTGCCTCGTATTGTGACATCATCAGGAGGGGATGACAGAGCAAAGCCTGAGACGGTGAGAGATCATCTTTTCCACATGAAGCAGTAAAGCTAATATAGATGTTTGCAAAAGGTTTGCGTTAACATTTCAGACCATCTCTAGCAGCTTCCATTAGCCTGGTTAGCATTGCTTACAGCTAGATTACAAGGCTCTGTGTCTATTCACTGTAGTTTAGGCTTTTAATTCAAATATTTAGTTCAAACATTTCCTCATCCAGCAAGTTGAAGGACAGAGCTCTGTTTTCTATCTGCTGACGTCTACCTGCTGTCGGACCAGTCGACATTCTTGTTTTTTAGAAAATAAAAAATGCTAATTACAGGTTTTTTTGGCCACTAGCCAGACACGGATCCCAGCAGGTCAAGCTTTCATTTGGTTAGCTCTACTGATTGGCGCATCTCTGTCTTCAATCAGGTGGCTTCTCTTTGGAGGTTTCCTGAATCATCAGGGTTTCCACAGGTCATTAAAAGTCATAAAATGTTGTTTTTTTTAAATGAAGTCCTTAATTGGCATTAAAATCCATTAAATGTGATTTTTATGGCATTTAAAATGCTTTATATAAAAATATATAAAAATACGTTTATAAAAACTATTTCATCAGATATATTATATCGCAATATATTTGCATTGAACTGCTTCCGGTACATCGTAAAAAGAAGCTTGAGGCGGAGAAAAAGACAGAGAATGGAAAATGCAAGAGTGGCTGGAAAATGAGGAATTCGGGACATGGCAGCAGACGGTAAACTGGCTGCTGATGACGAAGGATTTAGCCGTGTTTTATGTTTATATATATATATAAACATAAAACACTGAAAACATTTTTCTTAAAAATTTTTAATGCTCTTTTAATGCATTAAAAGCATTAAATTAGAGTTACTCATTCCTGTATAAACGCTGATCATTTTTAGTTTATAATTCTCAGCATTCATTTCAATGAGTTTTGTTCAAATGTGGGTTTTGGGCTTCAGTTCAAACCTCACAGAAAATCTGGAGCGTGAGAGTAGCCTTTTTTTTTTATCTGAGCTTTTTGTTCAAACCAGAAAAGTTCACATAGGCTGAAATCTGGGTTTCCATGGAAGCCGCTAACATTAGGTGACTGAGACAATCAGGGACGGGCCTGCAGGCAGTTGCTAAATGTAGCTGCTTGTTTAACTCATAGCTGTTCTGTAGAGAAGACCATAAAACTAAAGCTAATGTCGCTAACGCTAAAACCACATGAACAGACATTTTAAGCAAGTCAAATGGTTCGTATCCTTGCAAAGAAAATAAGGAGTTTGAAAAGTTGGAAATATCTCCTCTTACATTTTTTCCCCCTAAAATTATTATTAGACATGAATCTTAAGACAATTTTAGAAGGATTGATTGTGTAAAATACCAGGTTATGGCTGCATAGCCTCTATCACTCACCTAAGCCTTTCTCTATAGACATTCCTCTATGTATATTAGCAATGTTCTTATTGTTTGTGGACATGATGGTAAAACCAGTCATCCAGATCCAGTTCGCTGTGAGAGTTTGATCTGGATTGTTTCATCCAGCTGAATTAAAATTAATAACCCAAGTTCCCTCAGGTCCAAGGTAAGTGTTTGGGAAAGTGACCTGAGTTAAGAGGAATTAGCTATGAGGAAAGTTAAAAGTTAAATTTGACTTAGATCTGAAGTTTTTCATCCATTGTAGTGAAGGTTCGGAGTTTGTGCCGAACCAACACGGTGTCAGCCTAAAGACTGATGCTAAAAACAGAAGCGTTAGAGCTCACAGGACGCCATACTGAGCTCATTACGCCATACGCCGTAATGTGGCTTTAAGGTTGTGGATTTTAACCCTTGACGTTTGTTCTTTTTGCCTTGTTGTCTCTGCATGCTGTCGTCTGTCCCTCTGTTGCTGCGGTAACCGCTGGGTCCCTGCAGGCTGTTGTCCTTCGGCCTGCTGCCAAAGACAGACGGAGCGAGTTTCCAGACGTCTCTCCTCTTCCTGTGCATGACCTGCATGACACCACCCCCCTAAGCCCCCTCAGCCAGTCGTCCAGCGGCTATTTTTCCGCTAGCGTTTCTACGGTTACCCTGTCTGACGTCCTCCAACCCTCCTCGTCGTCTTCATCCCTCCTGGGTGCCGACGCCGCATCTCCCTCAAACCCACAGCAGCAGGGCGCTGACAGGAACGATGTTGTGACCTCTCCTCAGTGCGGCGCCAAGATGGCGGTCGTCGCATCCAACCACAACAGCGCCCCTTCAGCGCTCTCCTTCTCCGACCAGAAGCTAGTCAACTCGGGAGAGGGAGACGGCTTTGAGAGGCTGGAGATCTTTGTGGACGAGGATGAGCGTAGTCATGACGACGTACTGCCTGACTGGCTGACGGAAGGGGCGTATGTGACCGTGGGAAGCAACAAGGCTGGAACTGTGCGCTACGTGGGGACGACGAGGTTTGCAGACGGCGTGTGGGTAGGCGTGGAGCTGGACACTCCAGTTGGTAAGTGTGAGCTGTAAAAAACGAAAGCCGACGCCATTTACGACCATGATGATTAGCGGCGTTTCCTCCCTGCAGGTAAAAACGACGGCTCAGTGGGAGGTCATCGGTATTTCCTCTGCAAACCAGGCTACGGGGTGCTGGTCCGGCCAGACCGGCTGTCACGCCGCGATCGGACTGCTCGCCGCACCACAGACTTTGCTCCGTCGACCCACGTCCCGGTCCTACGAGGGGAAGCCATCATAGCACGCAGGGGGGAGAACCGCAAGTCCTGGAGCAACTGAAACGGGAGAGAGAAACTCCCCACGGTTCATCTTCTTCTACTCCTAAAAACCCATCAGGCTCGGTCTGACGCCTGCTGGAAACTAAACGTATGACTATAAGTCAAAGAACGAGGTCGGGGCGTAAAGAGCCTGCTTAGGAAAAATACGAGAGGAAAGGATCCTCAGAGTGGCGCCTCCTCAGAGATCCTCTCTGAGACGATATGCAGGGATGCAAACTCCTCACTGTTTTCACCATCCCATCTAAAAGGGAGAAACAGCTTTTTATAACACACTATTAAAAAAAGCTCTGATCTAACACCTCGCCTTGACAAACTGACAGAGAATTATAGGATTTTTGTTTTTTTGTTTTTATAGATGAATGAGGAAATAAAAATGGACAAAAAAAAAGCTTCAACTGACAAAACACTTTGATAAGAAATGTTTGCATCCCTGCATATCCCTCTGAACCTAATTTCCCAGAATACACCGCCAGAACTGCCGCCCTCCTGAACTGTTTAAGGTCCGGTCCAGTTCGCAGCCTTTGGATCAGCTGGAACTTTGGCCGTCCCTAACGGACTCCTCTCTTTCTTTTGAGGACAGATCCTCCCAGAACGTGCCTTCGCCATGGTCTGGTTCCTGTTCGTTTCTCTAAGATCTGCGTTCTGTTTGCCGTGTTCATGAAGAGAAAGCCTCGTGCAAAGTGTGAGGTGATCTCAGGGACTGCAGAGGGTGGGGCTTTGTGTGCGTGTCAGAGCTGTATAGTTTATGTAAATCTCATGTGTTAAAAGATGAAGGCAGGCGGTGCAGCGGGAAGAGTTGCGTCCTGGCAGGGAAAGGCCACCGGGGTGGATATTTTGCACTGGAGACGGTGGAGGAAGAGCTTCTGTACGTTAGCGGAACGCGAGCGCGGTTACCGGCTTCTGTTCGGGAACGTTTCTGATGATGCTGTCGTTTTGCTGTAAGCATTGACAGAGAGAGGATGTGTTTAGGAAGGAGACAGGAGGTTTCTGAAGGATACATCCAGCTGATTTGATCCTATGCATGCAAGTTTTAAGGAGAGGCTTGTTTTTGTGCTTGTTTTTATTTTTTTTGTTTATCTGACAGAATATGTTGGGAGGGCGTCAGCTGGTTTCTACATTCCAGACACACCCAGTGAAGAAAAACAGGAGGCGGTGAACCTTAGGAGCTCCTAAATTAGTTTTTATAATTTTATCAAACATTCCAGGATGATTTGAACCTGAACTTTGACGAATAGGAAGATTTTCAGGACTGTGAGGTTTTTAGGACTGTACTAGATGGCATCAATTTGCAGTAGCATTCACTTTTAATCCAGATGATCCGCTTTGTCGCCATGGAGACAGATTGGGTCATGGACATGTGGTGTGTTCTCTCTGATCCTGTGGTGTTCCTCCACAATCACAGCTTTAGATACAGTCTTCATTAACATGATTGTCATATAAATACAAATTAACTGCAATTATTTATGTTTGGCTCAAAAGAAAATGAATTCAAGCATCATCTGTAGTCGTCATCAAACTTCTTGGGTTTTTTTCCAGCTGGAAAATTGATGCCATAGAGTTTAATGTTGACTAACGTCAGCTTAGATGTTGGTCTAAACAACCTTTATAAGACTGAGGGCCACTTCCTGGTTACTGAGTCGTAGGACGGGCAACCAATACTGACCTTTGAACTGGAGGAGTCAGCATTCATTCATAGATAATAAACATATTTCTATAGTTTCTTCTCATTTCTAACCATTTATTAATTCCTATAAATGCTTCAGGGTTTCCGCGGGCCATTGTTATTTTTTAAATTGAGGCCTGAATTGGCATTAAAATTAATTAAATGTGTATATTTGGCATTTATAAAAACAATTTCGTCAGATATATTACAATATATTTGTGCGTAGCTGCTTCCGTATGTTCAGAAAAGAACGCAAGGTGGAGAAAAAGCAATAAAATGGGAAATTTTCAACAAAAGTGGATGAAAATGGAGGAATTCGGCTGGAGCCTGTTGACGGTAAAGATGACGAATAAAATATAACCACTTGTACGAAGCCTCAGACAAATTATATAAAGATGCCAAGGTTTATGCCAAAACGTGTTGTTTTCGTGACCATCAGCATGATGCTACCTCCACCATGCTTGACAGCTGGTTTCAGATCACGTTCAGAGCTTAACCTTGGCTCTGCAGACTGCAGCATGTTGATCCTGAAACAGAAAAAGCTTCTTTTCAGTTTTTAATTAAACAACAAAGTGGTAAAAACTGCCAAATTACAAGTTTGTTCTCCCAATCATTGTACTGCGGATAAACAATAAATGCTTAATTTCAAACCAATTGACCATCATGCTAATGAATAATGTAACTGTGGATGATTGAAGGTGTAGAGAGGTTTTCAGGAACACTTTGCTTGTTGAACTGTCTGCTGAAGCCGTTGGGGTTTCATAAAGCGTCTTCTTCACTTGAGGAAAGCATTAAGTATTTATGTGGGATTTCTTGTACTTTTATCGAATGGGAGCAGATGAAGCCTTTTTATTTGAACAATTGTTGCACAAATGATTGAGGGGAATTGCTGCTATGAGCGTTGTAAATATATCCTTGTAAATGAACTGATGGGTTTTGTTCCTGCCGTCTGCTGGAACGGGTTTGAATCGTTTGTGGAGCTTCGGGGTTGGCGGTCGGTTTTCCTGTAGGCGGTATTGAGGCACTTTGAGAAGAGGAGGCGGTAGGAACGGACATATCTGGCTCCTTTGGACGAACGAAGAGTTTCGATGTTAAAATTGCAATAACTATGGATGAAATATGTACGTCGAGGCGACAGGCTCCCACCAGACTAAGGTTTATGTGTAGTTTAGGCATCGGTCGGTTACCGTTACCAAGGAAGCCATTAACCTGATCGGTCATCCTGCAGCAGGATGGCTGCAGTCAGAGGGTAACACATTACTGCCCCTCACCCACTTGTTTCTGCGCACTGATGCTTTCATCATTGACGGAGAGCGAATCATGTTTCCCTTCACATTAAGAAGGATACGTTTAGCATTTTGGAAGGAATGTTTTCAGTCATATTTACTAACCATCTAATATTAGCTTAAGTTACGGATATTCCCTGCGTTTATTTGAGTTATACAAAAAAAACTATTCTGTAAGATCAATAAACATTTCACTCTAGTTTTTATATGTTTACTAAGTCAAAATGTTACAGCTAACATTAATAAAACTCTAATTAACGTGTTTCAGCAGCAGCTTCTCTCTATAATTTAAAGGTGCTGGAGGAGATCTTGGAAAAACGGTTCCAGAAAGCGATATTTTTGAACATACACAACCGTGCCTCTCCCTTCAGACCAGCCCTTAAAGCCACGCCTTCAAAACACATGACGCGCTTTCTGCCTGCAGTGCGTCTGGAGCAGCAGGAGCAGCGCTGATGATGCAGAACGCTATGATCACTCCTCTAAAACTGTTTATTAACACCTCAATTAAGTTATAAATCCCGAAATCTGCCGGCAAAACATGTTTGCTTTTATTATCTTGGTGCCTGCAGTTTGGATTGCGTACATAAAAAACACCTTCCAGCCGCCGCAGCAAACCGCGAAGAGGCGATCGGGCCATAGGCTGCTGAGGAATGGGATTAATAGTGACACTGCTGGTGTACGGGGGTCTGAGCTGCTCCCACAGAAATAATAATTGAAGGCAGGATGGTAATCTGGATGAACTGACGATGTTTTCAGGTGGACTTTCTCACTTCAAAGTAGATTCAAAGTACTTTTTACCCACTGATCACAGCAAATATAGCTGCCATTGTTACAGGCAAAGGAAGGGTAGAGTAGCTCCAGTGGCTAGCTTCCAGCCATGGCGTCCTGCACGAGCATTGGGGGGTCGATTCGTGGGACAAGCAGACGACCATGATTGACGTTTCAGGAACCAATCGTGTACAACGGACCATCTTTTGTGATTGGTTGAGGTTATTCATTGATTTCTCACTGTAGCGGGGAGCATTTATTTTAGTTTCACTTCCAGACCTCCTATTTCACTGCTTGCTAAGCGGCTGTGGGGGGATCTTTAAGCCACATGGTTAAAAATACATCAGAAAAAATCTCCTACTGCACCTTTAAAAGCTCATAAGTTTAATTTGAAATCTCTGGCTCTAAGGTCACACTACTAATAATCCTTATTGAATCACTCAGTGCGACTCCTAACTGGCTCATGACTCATGCGGTTATTGTTCAGCTCCAAGGCCTGGCCCTTTGGAGTCCTCTGATTGGTTGTCTTACTGTACTGCGACCGCCTGATTCTTCTCAGGCGGTGTTGAAGGAGGTCAGGAAGCGTTCTGATTGTGAGCGGCCCTCTCTGTGCGTGTGGATGGAAAGCGTTCCCCAGCTGCTTCCTGTCAGGCTGCTGTCGGACCGCAGCACGCCTGGTGGGAGGGAATGGGGGCTGAGATCACTTCAGACTTCTGGTCGTTTCTTTACGTTGTCGTGCCTCAGAAAACCTTTTCCTCATATTCTTTATATTAGATCAACTGTACTTTGCACAGAGGGGGGAGTTGAAGTGCTCAGATGAAGACGACACAACTGTTTGGGATTATGTTTTTATTTTTACTCATTTTAATATTTAATGATCTTGAGCTACAAGCTCTTCTTTTATTAAAAACTTTGATTCTCTTTCTGTTTTAAGTTAAAAAGCAGAAAAAAAAACACATTTCTATCAGAGGTGCAGCGACCCCAGCAGACGGTCTCCTCTCTGGTGGGCTGAGCGATGCACATTTATCTTTAGAGCAACAAAATTTGAACTACAATAAAAGTTGTGTTGTTTTTACACTGGTGCCAAGCCAGCTTTGTTATTTATGGATCTTTATCAGCCATTAGAGGCACTTTATGTTGTGTTTTTTATTCCCAGATGGATCTAACATATTGAGTCTGTATGAGCCTTCAGACCTTCACACTGTTTCCTGTTTTTATCGTGGCGTTCAGAGTGCTTCGTATTTAGCAGCCCCTTGCCTTTAACGTGGCCTTCAGCCTGGATCAGAACAGCCTCACTTTTTTAGGTTCACCATGTTTCTCTGCAGGTTGTTTACTCACAATAATTAAAGAGCCCGCTCTACTTTCCAGCTGCAAACAGACAGAATCCTTTAGGTCAGGGGTTTGCAACCTGTGGAGCCACAAGTGACACTTTGGACCCTCTAAAATAACCCGTAACCGTGACTTAAAATGATAAAGAGCCAACTATTAGTTTATAATGGAGTAAATTAACAAATGCTTTTCTTTTAAAGGACATTTTAATTTAACTTCCTCTACAGAATGACATTAAAGATCCAGGAATATGTTTTATATTGTATTAAGCTTGGAAATTCTGCGTTTATTTTTACACAGCATAAAATCTTATAGAACAAGATCCAAAATCACGGCTTTGTCTTTATGAAACTGTCATTTTTTGTCCTATTTTAAAAACTAAAAAAGGAAAATAAACTGTTTGCTGTTTAAAATGGCTAAATATTTCGTATCGAAGATATTTAAAGAAACAATAAGTTGGGTTTTATATAAAGGCAATGCAGTTTTTGTGGCTGTAAAAACATTTTTTTAGACAGGGCTGTTTGGATTTGAAATGTTGCAGACCCCTGCTGTTGGTCTCAGGAGCTGTCAGGTTGATCACTGCCCTCTTCCCCAGAAGGAAATGTCGCCCCCTAGTGGCTGCTGGAAACTGTCAGCCAAAGGAGGCTTGTCTTCCATGCAGGGAATTTTTGGTTACAACCAGAAAATGATGATCTGTACTCAACTGGGATCATAACAAATAAATTCTAGTTTCAGGAATTTTCTTTTTGGCTAAAACAGAATTGAAAATTTTGTTTCACCTTTGAACTACCTCAACTCCTGCTCCAGTCTCATCGATCGTTCTCCCTCCTGAGTACCTGCTTCCCAAACAGCAAATAAATAAATGACCACAGCAACTAGCAATACAAGGCTGGCAGGTGGAGCCACAGATTCCAGATCCATTTCCCTGATTACAGGCGAAGGCTCATAAGGATTTGAAGGTTACTCCCCCTCATGCAGCGGAGGATAAACTTCAATGCTCACACATTTGTTTTGAGGTCAGCAGTATTATATCATGGGTCACTGCTGCTGTTGATTCTGTGGAGCGGCGTGTCTGCCTGCATCGTTTCTGTGTTTTCTCTGGATGTATGTGTACATATGATCATATTAAGACTTATAAAGGAGAGAAATCTGAGCACAAGTTTGGGTTTTGATTAATTTAATTGTTTTATGTAATAATTTCATGCTGCAATCCAAAGAATAAACGTGTATTATAATGCGTTTATTTTTATTTCTAATGGTCTGAACAGTAAATAGATTTAGGGGGATTTTTTGTACGTTTTTCTCTTTTTACATTGAAAAAAGTTTGTTTGTGTACATAAAATAAAAAGGCCAGATTTGGGGCAAATTAGTGA